TCCAGTAGCGACTTCCAAATACTTTGATCACCCCAAAAAGAAACTCCATCGTCATGAAGCAGTCACCCCACCCTACCCAATCCCAGCCCCTGGCTCTCTGACCATATGGATCTACCTATGACTCTCTAGATATGTCATATGTTTTATAAGATTTAAAGATTTTTTCATAGTGAGCTACAGAACAGCGACACTCTGGAGAGATGACAGGCAGAAGAAGGGGTGAGTGCCATGGGAAGCGAACCTGATAGGGGTAGCTAGTGTCCACAGGGTCCCTAGGCAGTGGCTAGTTTGAATGGTTTCTCAGGCTCCAGGACACAGGGGCTGTACTAGCTGTCTGGTACCTGGCCCCAGAGTGTGAGACCTCAATAAGTGGGACTTGAGCCATGGGTTTAGTGGACCAGGAGAGAGGGGCCCTGATATGGGAGGTCGGTGGGGTGGGAGCTTAGCAAACTGCCTGAGAAGGCGAAGGGAAAGGAGTTTTTCTTTTTTTTCCCCACAATATTTATTTTAAATATTTTTTAATTTAATTTATTTATTTTAATTGGAGGAAAAGAGTTTTTAGTCATAATCTCAAAACTCGATTGAGAAAGCTCTTATGAAATCTTACCTTGCATCATATAAGTAGAATCATGCAGTAGTTGTTGTTGTTGTTCAGTTGCTCAGTCGTGTCCAACTCTTTGTGACCCCATCGACTGCAGCACACCAGGCTTCCCTGCCTTTTACCGTCTCCTGGAGCATGCTCAAACTCATGTCCATTGAGTCGGTGATGCCATCCAACCATCTGTCTCCCCCTTCTCCTCTTGCCTTCAATCTTTCCCAGCATCAGGGTCTTTCCCAGTGAGTCAGCTCTTTGCATCAGGTGGCCAAAATATTGGAGATTCAGCTTCAGCATCAGTCCTTCCAGTTAATATTCAGGGTTGATCATGCAGTATGTGGCCTTTTGTGTCTGTGTCTGTTTTTTTTTTCACTTAGCATCATGACACCAGGTTCACCCACATGGTAGCATAGATTAGTATTTCATTCCCCTTTGCGGCCAAATAATGTTCCATCTGTGTCTAGACCATGGTTGGTTTTCCACTCTTCTATTGATAGACACTTGGGTTGTTTCCACCTTTTGGAGATTATGAATTGTTCTGCACTTAATTCACATGGGAGGACAAGTTTTTGGTGTTTTTTTTTTTCTTTTAGTGGACAAGTTTCTTTCTTTTCTTTCTTTTTTTTTTTTGGTGGACAAGTTTTTGTGAAAACATGTTTTCAGTTCTTTTGAGCATATACTCAGGAATGGAACTACTGGGCTGATGATAACTATGTTTACTTACTAAGGAACTACCAGACTGTTTTCCCTTTTAACTTTGAACACTGTCAAGCAAATGGACAAGTAGAATAGTCCAACCAAGCCCAGTACCCACCTCCCAGGGTTAGCAGTGGCCTCCAGCTTGCCTTATGTGCCTGTTTCCCTCCCTCCCTCTCTCTTCCTCCCTCCCCCTCTTTCCTTCTCTCTTTCTTTTGTTTCCATTAAAATGCTTGAGAGTCACTTCACAAGCCTTGTTCTCCCCAAATGGTTCACTGTGCATCTCTTGAGAAAGACATTTTCTTCCCTGACCCGGGGGCCACAATTCACTCACCATGTGGGCAGCAGGCGCCCCACCCTCACCTCCACTCCCCCTTTGATTCTTCTTTTGTTCATGCTAGCATGGCATCAGGGACTCCCACTGCACTTGGCTGTTGGCCACTTAACTCTCTTTTCATCCAGAGCAATCTCCCTCCCCAGCCTCCTCTTTCCCCTGTGACACTGATTTGCAGAGGAAACCAGGAAACAGCCCACCTTCTGGATCAGCGCTGGCTGCTCCATTGTGGTGCCTTTAACCAGTCCCTCTGTCCCAAGGTCCTCTGTAAACCAGAAGCTGAGTCCCAAGGCGGCATAGAATCAGGTCAAGCTTTGGCAGGAGCTCTACTGAGCACTTCCACCGAGGGAGTGGACATCCCACCTCTGGGGGACATCCCAGCTCTGTCCCACCATTAGGTTCACTTCGTCTCTTGTGACCAGCAGTAAATAGGGAAGACATTTTGACATCATGTGGCCAGCAGCCCTCAGCATTTCACCTCATGGTTTTGTTGCAGGAAGGGGGACCCCTTCCAGAGCCCGAGAGTGGTCTCTTGTCTGACACTCGGAAATGAATTGTCCAAGGAGACACACGTCCTGAGACTTTACAAAAGACTTCACTGAGAAGGGGCACCCAGGCAGAGAGCAGTAGAGTAAGGGAACCCAGGAGAACTGCTCAGCCACGTTGCCTTCAGTCTCAGGTTTTATGGGTGGGATTAGCTTCCAGGTTGTCTTTGGCCAGTCATTTTGACTCAGGGCCCTTCCTGGTGGCACATGCATTGCTTAGCCAAAATGGATTCCTGCAAAGAGCATCCTGGGACATGTGACATCTCCTTTTGGCCTTTCCCGAATTCTTGTGGTTGGTGGTGGCTTGTTGGTTCTGTGTTCCTTACCAAGACCGCCTGTTGTAAAATAACTCACGCAAATGGTTATTGTGGTGCCTAAGACTTTTATCCTATAATTTTTCCAATTTCTGCCATTTTTTTCCTTGAATTTAGCTCTAGTTCTAACTCTTCTTACTGCTCCTCTGAAGGTACTGTATCTCCTCCTTACTCTTTCTCCCCCATACTGGTTGTAAAGTTTTCTCTTTTTCTTTGGTTTTCATCAGTGGAACTATGTTGTGCCTTTGTATAATTTTTCTTTTTTTAATTTCTCTTGCTTGATATTCTTAAAGCTTCTTAAATCTGTTGGTTAATACCTTCCTCTTAAATTTAGAAAGTCTTGTAAACATTTGTTCAGATCTGTTCTCTTCTTAGATTTTCAGTTATAGTGTTTTATGTTTCTTATTGGTCTTTTCTGTATTTTCCACTTTTTTTGTTTTTTAATGTCTGGGCTTTTATTTATGGTATTTTGTATCGACATATCATCCAATTCAAAATTCTGACTTTTGTGTTAATCTCCTGTTGGTGCTGGTTTAGTTGCTAAGTCGTGTCTGACTCTTTGTGACTCCATGGTCTGTAGCCCGCCAGGCTCCTCTGTCCATGGGATTCTCCAGGCAAGAATACTGGAGTGGGTTGCCATTCCCTTCTCCAGGGAATCGTCCCAACCCAGGGATCGAACCCTGGTCTCCTGCATTGCAGGCAGATTCTTTACCACCTGTGCTATGAAGGAAGCCCTATCTCCTGTTAAAACCATTTATTGAACTCACTTTAGACGTTTCAGTTAGAGTATCCTTTTGATTCTTTTCTGATACAGATATTAATTGTCTAGGGAAATATGGCATCTTTTCATGTATTTCTTCCATCTTTGCCACTGTTTTCTTTAACATATTAATTATATTCTAATGTCTTAGTTTGTTAAATATGTAGATTGCTTATTTTGTTCTGTTTTGTGTTGTTTTTCTTCTTTTTGAGGTTTGTTCTTATGGTCCTATTTCTTGGTAACATAGTTATTTTTAGTTAAATGCTAGAAATGTAAATAATCCTGCAGTATTTACAGTTAAATGTTAATTTAATTCATATTTTAGAATCTTTAAAATTATAGATACTCCTGAAGATTATATCTTCCCCTGGAAAAGTTTCACCCTTTCTTCGCTAGGTTGGTAAAGTGGGAGTTGGACCCCTTAATTCAGGGAGGTACTGAATGGAGTGCAGGTTGGGTTTTGTTTTAGTAAGGTATCAGCTGCCTTTGATTATTTCTTGGCTTTCATCTGAAAACCTAGTTTGTTCACCAGACTTCTTCCCTTAAAGTTTCCTTAACTCTTAAGTTTTGTATCAGTTCCCTGAGCTCTGCTTTTCAGACTTTGTTTAGTTTTTTGGCCTTTGTAGCTTCAGAAGTTCATACACACCATGAGCGGAAAAGACAACCATATGCTTAAGACCGCTCATGTCTCTGATTTTGTTACTATAGCCTTCTCAGACTGCTTTAAACTTCTGCTCAGGACAAAGTGTAATTCTCAGCCTGTTCCCTGTGCCTTGAGTTGTCCAAGAAAAGAGCATTAAATTAACTCTCCATGGTTATCTCCTGAACTTTGGTCCCTCTTGTTCTCACTGCTTGGGCAACTCTTAGGTGCCTTCTAAGACATGATTTTGTATTCATCTGGCTTTGCCAGTTTGGGGAGGAATTATTGATTTGTTATAAGCTTTTTGTCCCAACTTGGAGGTTAGTTACATAGCTACTTGCAAGTGATTTAGTATTAATTTTGCTCTAGTCACTGATAGTTGATAGTGTTTCTTTAAAATAAAAATGTACTCCTTTAATTGGTGTAAGGACATTTCAAGTTGACTTTTTTTGTCACTTGTCAAGATATTTTTCCCCCATCATTCTACTATTTCTGCTTCCCTGGTGGCTCAGACAGTAAAGAATCTGCCAGCAATGCGGGAGACCTGGGTTTGATCCCTGGGTCAGGAAGATCCCCTGGAGAAGGGAATGGCAACCCACTCTAGCATTATTGCCTAAAGGATTCTATGGACAGAGGAGCCTGGTAGGCTACAGTCCATGGGGTTGCAACTAGAGAAAAGCCCATGCAGCAGCAAAGACCCAGAGGAGCCAAAAATAAATAAATGAAATTGTATAAATATACATATATATGTATATATAAAGAACTCTGACCTCAGGGGCAAAGGAGTGGCAATGGGGCTTCCAGGGGTAGCTTGAAAGTCAGAATTGAGGGGCTAGTCATGTAGTAGGAGGGCTGAGAGAGGAAGGAGGTGAGAAAAGGAAAGAAGAAAGACACTCCCTTAACAGTCTTGCAGCCTGGCTAGGCGGGCCCAGCATGAGGAGAGATGGAATCCTTGTCTCCTGAGGAGAGGGGACAGAAGCTCAGCTTTGGAAAGTGTTATGGGTTGAATTTTGTTAGCAGCTCTGATTGGGGCCTTATCTGGACAAGGTCACACAGTGCATAGGCTCAGCTCACACCGGTCTCTCTCCACCCCCCTAGCATCCCTGTGCCCCCAAGATGGCGGCCATGCTCCTGACAGCCAGACCCAAGGTGAGTGGGGATCCCTGACTGTGGGCAGCCCCTCAGCCCGGCATTCCCCCCATCAGCCTCCATCCGTTGCATTTTCCTGTCCCGTTGTCACAGCTCTTGACGAGCTCTCTGGGAACCACCACGACCCATGTTTTTTGTTGCTGCCAGCTTATCCTGGGGCCCATGGGGATGAATTCCCCTGAAACCACAGTGATGGCTTGTTTTAGGTGCCAGTATCTTTTGAGGATCTTGCCGTGTACTTCACCAAGGCAGAATGGAAGCTTCTGGATCATAGACAAAAGAAGCTGTACAAGCAAGTGATGCTAGAGAATTACAGCAATTTGGTGTCACTGGGTAAGGATCCTGCACACAGTCAGGCCCCCAACCTGTCTCAGAACTCAGTTTATTTCTGAGTTCCTTTCCTTGTAGGTTACTGTGATTCCAAGAATAAATGCGTTTCCCCATCAGGTCAGTAATCCAGTGATGCCCAGCTTTTACCTCAAAGGCAGTTTTATCTAAATGGTTTTAGGCCTATAGGTATTTTTATATAAAATCAGAGGTTAACTAAACCTCATCTACCCAAAAGATAAGTGCAAATTATCCTTGAATATTTATATGCATTAATTTATACTTACTTTTACCAAAGTTGCCTTTTGTGTACAGTTCATGTTATAAAGTTTAGAAGCATCTGTTCCTTGCATCAAGCCATATAGAGCCCAGGGCATAGAGACCCAGGACTTGGTTTTCCAGTCTGGAAAAATCTGGAAAGAGCTGGCACAGGCTCCTCCACTGTGCCCGCCTTGGTTGTTTCTGCCCCTCACCAGCAGTGAGGTTTGGTGTAAGGAACAGAGACATCTCCTCTCTTACATGGTGAAACAGGCAGCCTTTTAGCTCTGTTCACTTCTTGATACTCCCTGCAGCTTTGCTCCAGCCCTCTGTCTGCCCTTCAGTGTCTCTACACTAACTCCCCATTTCCCACAAGCTGCCCATCTTGCAGGCCAAATGATAACATGGTTATCCTCTTGACCCGAATCACCACCTACTTAAGACTCTTCATACATGCCAAGCCTGTTCATACACTCAGAGCTCTTTGCCCCTAGAGGGACTGTGCCTTTTCTCAGGACCTTCCCAGTGATACTTTCTAGAAAGTTCTTCATTCTCTGGTCCTGAAGATACTAATGCCAGACTGAGTCCAGGAGTAATTAACCTGCTTCCTCTCCATGGACAGGATTGTCGTCCTCCAAGCCTCAGCTGGTCATCCAGCTAGAGCAAGGAGAGAAACCATGGGTAGCAGATGTCAACAGGATCACCACAGGGATGCAGGCAGGTGAGTGAGGGGAGCTCTACTGGCTTGCCTGAGCCATTGGCAAAGAGCAGCAGTTGATGGAGGGTGGCATGGTCACTTTGGGTTGGACATTCTCTTTTGTGGCAGTTTTAAATCTGCCATGGAATCCTCTGTCTCACAACAGCTCTTCTATTTCTAGCTCACTGCTGTCTCCTCCCCTCTTGCCTTCCTGTCTGCTGATGGTCATCTTCCTTTCTCTCCCACGCCCTCAACTCCTGATTCAGCTCTTCTCAGACTTGGAGTGAGGGTGAGGGTAAGGAACAAACCTAAATTGAGACCCAGGAAGGTAGTGACGCTGGTTGGTGCTCTCTATGTCTTTCCAGGTGACAGGATGAATAGCAAGCTGACAATTTCAAAGGAGAATAATTGTCCAAAAGAACTCCCAGGGGCCAATCTTCAGGTTGGCAACATGGGCCAGGTAGCCGGGCAGTCAGAGGAAACACTTGAGCACAGACAGAAACGTGCCTGTTGTCCACAGACAGGTTCCAGCAGGGGTGACCCTCCTGGGGAGAAAGACCAAGGCAGCTCCCCAGGTGAGGGAAGAGAGATGCAGGGAAGCAGCTGCGGAGGTAGGCAGGATTTGGTTGTAAGGCAGCCGAGTGTCAAAGACATGGAGAGGCAGTTCGTGTGTCAGCAGTGTGGGAAATCCTTTACCCGGAAATCCAACCTCGCCAAACACCGAGTCATCCATAGTGCCCAGAAGCCCTTTAAGTGTGGTGAGTGTGGGAAACTCTTTCGACGCAACTTCTCACTCCTGGAGCACCAGCGCATCCACAGTGGTGAGAAGCCCTATGTATGTGGCGAGTGTGGAAAGGCTTTCACACGTGGCTCCAACCTCATCAAGCACCAGATTATCCACACTGGCGAGAAGCCCTATGGGTGTGATGAGTGTGGGAAACGCTTTGGGCGCAACTTCACACTCATGGAACACCAGCGCATCCACAGTGGCGAGCGGCCCTACTCCTGTGATGTGTGCGGCAAGGCCTTCAGCAGGAGCAGCAACCTCACTGAGCACCAACGCACGCACAGCAGTGAGAAGCCCTTCATATGCAGCCAGTGCACAAAAGCCTTCAAGGGCATGTCCCAGCTCATTCACCACCAGCGTGTCCACAAGGGAGAGAAGCCATTCATGTGCAAGGAGTGTGGAAAGGCCTTCCGGGGGCGCTCAGGCCTCAGCCAGCACCACGCGGTGCACACTGGTGAGAAGCCCTATGAGTGCAGTGAGTGTGGGAAGACCTTCAGCCGGCGATCCAACCTCTTCAAGCACCAGATAGTGCACACTGAGAAGAGACCCTACGGGTGTCAAGAGTGCGGGAAGGCGTTCCGCCACTGCTCTGCCTACCTGAAGCACTGGCGCACCCACAGCCGCCCACAGCCCTGTGCCTGCGGCCACTGTGATGACTGCAACCAGGCCTCCGAGGAGAAACCACAGCCTGACCAGCAGCCGAGAATTCACCAGAACCTCTTGGAGGGGAACAGCTCAGAGATGGAACCGGCCTTCCTGGGCCTCCAAAGAGCCACTGCGGAGTCCCACCCGGAGAATGAGAATCAGCTTCAAGACTCCAGCTGTGCCACTGCCCCCAGCACCGCCATCTGACTGGGTGCTCTGCAGGAGGGCTGGCTTTAAGATGAGCCTTCCTAGTCCCCCTCCCTTCCCTCGTTGATGATGCAATTGCAGCCCAGAGACTGCACCTCAGACTGGCCCCTTTGCACATTTGTATTCCTCATTGGAGCAGCTGAAAGTGCTCTTGCCCCTTGTGCCTGGGGCCTGTGTGCTGTGGGTGAGAGGGAGCGAGTGCCTTGAGTTAAGTAGTAACCCATATCATCTCATGGGGGCCTTCACTTCATCCCAAGACTTGTTAGTGTTTTCAGGTAAGAAGACACGAAGAGCACTTTAATCCTTTAAAAGCTTAGTAGTGGGAGGGACTTGACAGCATTCAAAATTGTGGGCTCCACATCAAGGCTGTGGCTGGACTGTGACATCACCTAAAATTCATCAGAAATGGTCTGAGAAAGGACTCAGGGACTGCAACAGTGAATTGCTCGTGCCCACTTTGTGTGCCCACACATCAGCCCATGGAGAGAGTGGCATCTCCTTGGGGGGTAAAGCACAGGACACCCTGCTTTTGTGCTGAGCAGTGGCCCATACTTTTTCCAGGCCATTTGACTTCGTGCCTGAAAGTCACAGCCTCCCACGGGCACCACCAGCTGCTTCCAGGAGAAGCAGCACCCAGGACCCATCTTTTCGGAGCTCAGGGGATTTGGGGGGATGGCTTCCCTGGGCCCTTCGAAGAGGATGAGGCCTGGGGACTCTCGGCTTCCCCTCCCAGAGAGAAGAGCCCTTGGGCTCAGGTCCCTCCCAGCTGCCACCAGCTGCCCTGCTGCCTTTCTTCTCCTACCCGCACCCCGGCTCACCCCACCCACTGCCTTCAGATTCAGCCTGCAAGGGCCGGGCTGGCCTGTCTGCTCCTCCTCCCCACTCTCAGTGCCTAAAGCACCTAGCCTAAGTTGCTTCTCCCCCTGAAACAACAGCCCCTCATGCCTGGTGCTGATCAGGAGGAAAGCAGGCTGGGTTAGGAATTTGCACAGAGCAAGCCCAGTAAAGGCTCTCGCTTTCACATGATGTTTGTTACAATATTAGAGGTTCAGTTGCTTTCAGTGTTCCTGCATTCAGGTGTAATGTAAGTCATAGTAGAAACTTTTGCTATAGGGGAGTGTCAGGGAATCGCCCCTTAAATAAGAATCCTTCCAACCCTCTCAGAAGACCTCAGGAAGGAGAAAGGGGCCTACCTCAGGCCTGACGGCCAGTTAGCTTGCTGGCAAGCCTGGCCTGTCTTCTCACTCCCTCCCCTATCCCTGCAGAGACAGGGTGAGCCTTCAAATGGCACTTTACTGCAGGCCACCCCCTGCCCACCTTACCCACAGAGACTCTGCAGGGAAGAGTTCATGCTTCCTGGGGGGAAGCTGCTGGCAGGTCTGGATTGTTCTGCCCACACTGTCCCCAGAGCTTGGACCAGGAGTTCTGCCCCCTTGCCCTTCTCAGCCCTGCATCCTGGTTGGCTCACCACCTGCCAGCCCCTTTCAGCACCCGCCAGGGTCTTCGGCTCAGTCACACGGACTGCCAGAGGTCAGGCAGGTGGTGGGTGTGCTGGAGATTTCCCCCACTGGGCCTTTGAGAAGCACACACTTCCCCTGCCAGAAACTGGGCTTGGAAGTGGAGGGCTCCTGCACATGCTGCTTGGAGCACCCACTGCTTGGACGACTCTGGAAGTGAGAGTGAGAAGGAGATAGAGATCAAGTCGTTTCATACAGTTATATGACCATCACTTGTGCACATTTGTGACTTAGGAAAAGTTCTTTAGTTGTTGTAACTTGCTTTTATTTCAGCCTCCTTTTGCTCTGTGTGTCACGTTGTCTTTGAGCCCAGCATTTAGTAAATATTTGTGAAATGAATCTTGTCCCCTTAGCACATTGACCTCAGGTTTTAGACCACAGTTGACTCCAACCTTACCTTTTGGCAGTGGAAAGTATTTGCAGCTTTGGGTTTTCCACTAGAAAAAGACGTTTTAAAGGAGTGTTGTCTTTGAACTCTGTGGTGAGGTCACTGGGAAGCGTGTTGTTTGTCTGAGGTTCCAGACAGTCTGTCTTAAGGCAGCAAGGCTTCAGGAAGCCCACCCCCCACAAAGGGCAGGGGACAGCGGCCTGAGGCCATTTGCTCGGGCTCTGGTACCTTTTTTGTTCAGCTGAGGCAACCCAGGATTGGGGCAACAATTGCTGCATGACAGGCCCGGAAGGAGCGTAAATCCATGCACAATGCTATCCATTTCCATCGCTCTAGAAAGTGAATGGCTTTACTCCTATGGGTCAGTAACCAACTTTTAATAAAGAAAAGGTGTATCTCCCCAGTACAGCATCATCCTATTGGTTCCACTGGATAAGCTGACTAGATTTTGAATGTGAGCACCTTTTTATACCTTGGGACCCACCTAGAGATGACTAGATACTGGGGGTACAGGCAGTGATGCCTGATTTTTCAACAAAAAGTGGACTTGCCTGGAGAGATGCAAGCAGAGATGCCAGGCACATGTGCTCTGGTCTCAGTGCCCTGAAAGGCTCCAGGATTTCTTAAGTGCTTACCCAGATATGTGACATGTATAAGTGATGCATCTTTGGTTTGGCATTTCTCTACCTCGTCTCACTCCTTCATTAGATTTTCACTCTTCATTAGCACATGTGGTGGTAATCAATCAGGTGTGCATCAGGAACTAAACTGGTATCACATGGAATCATCCAGAGAGTGTCCGGAGAGGATGCTTGCGATTTGCCTTCTACTGTGCCTTGAAATCGGGCTCCCCCCGGCTAGGTGGGGAACTGTGATTGTGGCCCGCACTTGCTTTCTAATGACGACTGGAGTGTAAAAGCTGAGACTGTTGGGGATGTCTTGCCTGCTTTTCACCACCTGCCCCCCAACAAAATTCACACTCCACACTTCTGGACTGGGCTTCGGCTCCAGAGACGACCCTGTCAGACGCTGGATCATGTAGCACATGATTTGATCTTTCAAACTTGGGACACTTTTCAAGAGCTGTTTAAGTGCTGCAGCAGTATCTTCTCATAACTGTTAAACTGTCCCAACTGAATTCTTTGACTTCGGGTGTAAACAAATAAGGAAGGTCTGGGTGTTGATTTGAAGTAACAGCAGTTTGGTGAAAGGTCTCAGGAAAGGGTGATGATCTAGATTGGGGAGGGGGAGCCGAGACAGTGTGTCTGGGCATGAAGGGAAGCCAGGACCCCTCCAAGAGGAGCTGCACAGAGACCAAGGGCAGCCACCCAAGGCCAGTGGAACTCCTAGAGCAGGAGAGCAGAGTCACCCCATCAGTGACCTGGTGTCTTAGACCTTTTGCTTACATTGCCTGCAAGGCTTGTTCCCCTTTGCAAAGCTGCCTGGTGCCTGAGAAGGGGGCTCTTGCAGGATTCTGTTACCATTGTTGTTGAATGTCCTTAGTTCCTAATTCTACTGGATGGCTTCCCCCTCACTCCGGGGCTGGTTCTGGCCCATACTGTGGCAACCTAGGGGAAGCAGGATGCCCAGGCTGGAGGCAGCTCCCTGTGAACAATTCCAGAGGGGCCAAGACCCCGCTTTTGCCATCCCTGCCACAGTAAGGGGACACGGCAGCTTTCAGCTCAGGATGCTGAGTCTTTGCCTGGTTAGGTAGCAAAGTGCTATGTGGAGGTCAGGGTAGAACTTAGTACCAGGTGAACTCTGAAGACGAGAAGTAGAGATCATGGGGTTTCTGGGAGGATGGAGGGCTTTCTGTAGGGCAGACATGGGGTAAAAGGTCATTAGAACCAGAGCACGAACAACTAGGAGTGTCAGACAAAGAGGTTTGGTCTCTAGCCGGCTCCTGAAGAAGAGCAATTTTTTGTAACAGAGAATTATTCTAAGATCAAGGAAGAAAAAAGTTGTAGATAATAACTGCTAGAGTTTGTGAATTTACACATTGAAGACCACTAAGTGTACACTGGAGTCATCTAGACAGTTCTGAAGAATTTTCCATGCAGGAAGGAGTCAAAAGGACAGTACTGGGGGGGCGGGCAAAGGCAAACGGGAGTGCCCAAAATTGCAAAGTACCCCAGGTGGTGGCTTGCTGCCATTTATTCTCTCAGGTCAATTCCCACTTTTACCTGTACTTAGATGGTTTCCTCTTGTGCTAGCCCCAGTGTGTCCATGACATCACAACACAAGGGTCCTCTAGGATTTGAAGGTTGCTGGTTCATCTTTCAAAACCTGAACATATTCAGAGTGTACAATTGGATGAGTTTTGATGTGTATCCACCTGTAAAACCATCACAGCAGTGAAGATGGTGAATGTGTGCCCATCACCCCAAAAAGTTACCTTGTCTGCCCCAGTGCTCACTCCTTCATACCCCTTCTTGCCCTCCCCCTTCCCACAGGGATTGTTCTTCCTGTCACTCCACATTGGTTTGCCTTTTCTAGAATTCTGTGTAATTGAAATGATGCAGCATGCACTCTTCTTGCCTGACCTCTCAGCATAATGACTTTGAAGTTCATCCAGGTTGTTATGTGTTTGTAAGTTCTTCATTTTTTAATCACTAAGTACTAGTCTTATTGTCTGAATGGATCAAAATGATTTTGGTACATTTTTGGGTTTTCCAAACTTTGGCCTTGACAAATAAACCTGCTGTGAAGTTTTGTGTGCAATTTTTTGTGTGGACAGTTGTTTTCCTTTCTCCCACGTATATAGCTAGGAGTGGAATTGCTGGGTCACATAGTAAGTCTATGTTTAACTGTTTGAGGAACTGCCAAAGTGTTTTCCAAAGCAGTTGCACCGGGCTACCTTCCCACCAGCAGTGTATGAGGGGTCCAACTTTGCACACCATCCTAACACTTGTTTTTGTCCATCTTTGTGATTCCAGACATCCTGGTGGGTTGAAGTGGAATCACGTTGTAGTTCTGATTTGTATTTTCCTGATGATTAATGATGTTGAGCACCTTTTTACAACCTCATCAGCCACTCATATATCTTAATTGGGTGATGTGTGTGTTCAAATCTTTTTACTTTTTTTTACTGAACT